GGGGTCTATGACAGTGAATCATTAACAACGAAAGAAATATCCGACGACCACCCTGCAGATGCAAGCAGCTATTGCGGATACACTAAGGATTTAGTTGAAGGTAAAGCACGCTGGTTTGCGCCGTCGGACCGCGCTCAATGCTGGCCGTAGGGATGGCCAATGGCCTCGCCGTTGACTTCAGCTTGGTGCTGGCTGTGCGCGAACAGCCACCCATTCTAAGTCTGACTATCCCGATGCCAGAGCCATTCAAAGGTAAGTAATTTAAGAAAAATGACGGCATCGATTTGAATTAAGTGGGGGAATCTTGAGGAGTGGCTTGTGAGCGCAGCGATCAGCAGGGCAATGGGCAATATATCGGCTTTGGCTGACAATCTAGCCCAATTCTTTGAACTATATTCTCTATGGATTTTTTTTTTTTTATCTTCACTGTTTTCCCCCCTCAATGACAGCCCGCGCCTCTTTCTCACCGCTCCTTTTGTGCGTCGCCCGTCGTGCTAGAGCTTGAAACAAATGACACTAAGGCGCCCACACGATGGGTCACGGTCCCGATTGAGAATAGCAGAGTATATCTGACAAGCGACGGCGCTTGGCGGGTGGGCCAACGATCTTTAGGTCGCACGGAGGACTCTCTTAAGAGTCAAGGTATGCAAGCAATGGGTCGGGGCGTCAGAGGCCTGAACAATTGTGGAGTATGGGAACAGGTTGTCTTTGATTGACCTGACAGAGAATACGAGGGGTATAGACTACTTTGCGGCATCAAAGCTCTATGATGCCGATTTCCGCTCTTGGGATTGAGTTCAATGGTTACTTTCAGGGAAATCCCACTAACGGAGAGGAAGACGAGATAGGAACCCAACGGGCAAATCAGCATTGCCTCGGTCGAGCATTGCTCTTCCTTCGACCGTTTTAGCGGATTTTCACGAGGATGTTGTGTTGGTCATGACCACGGATTCTGATTTGCGGCCGTACATCCATGACCATCGCTAAGCATGCAGACCAGGAATCCATGCAGGGCCAACGCCAGGTGAGCACCCAAGCTGTCGGGTCTCTCGACAACAGGATTTAAGCCCAGGGTTGACAAGGCATATTTGGCAGCGATCCCAGAACCACGGTTCAGCTTCGGGAAAGCAGTGCGCAGCGCCGGAGACTACAGCGGTTAGGCCCGCTAGTGTGGGCGTACTAAAAACCTACCCACATCGTACTCCAGCAAGTAGCACGTTCGATGGAGTTGCAATCGCTTTATCATTACGTTGCACGTCTCTCGTCATTTTAATTAATTATCCTTTTTCCACTTTATATTTCTCCGTCTCTCTTTTTTCTTTGTTCTTTTTTCCTTTTCGAGTGCTTTGACCATCTGTCGCAGTCCCTCCACACTGTCTCTAGATCTGTCAGTGCGTACAGATCTATGTTGGAATGGCAAAGATAATACTCAGAGTAGCTTTGTAGTATTTCAGCCAACAAACAGAGAGAGGGAAGATTATTGCATTTGTTCATATAACGTCATACAGTACACATCTATACCTTCGTAGCCAAGTACCCTATATCATCGCTACCTGACCTCCAAAGATCCAGTCATATACTTCACACTAGCAACAACGATCTCCACCACAAACGCAGTCTCTTCTTCAGTGCGCGGGGCATAAATCAAAACATACTCCGACGGAAGCGAGATCACCTTTCCTCCAAAAAGCGCCTTTGGAGCCTGAACCCCAGATAATTTATGCCGTTGCCCCCAACCAGCTTCAATCACTTTCTTGCCTGTTCATTATCCCTGAGTCAGTTTCAATTTCATCTCTAGACAAAACATGTATAGTCTTCCCTCGTCTCCGTGTGACAGGTACCAAGGGGGAATAAAAATGGATAGAGAGATCATACAGTCAGCAGGAGCCAAAGTCAAATGCAACGAAAAATCCTTCAACCGATGGATATGCGCAATCTCGCCCTTCAACTGCTGCGCAGCGGGAGTCGGGACAAGGCCATCCGCGAGAAAGAGGGCATCGGCGTGAAGTTCGAGCTTCGACGGGGCAAGTCCAACGAGGTGTTGGTTGCGATTGGCGAAGGCGTAGAAATCCCGATTCAGTTTCTTTTTAAATCTCCGGTAAGTATTGGGACAATTGGTACATACATACATACATACATTACATTTTTGTATGTCCGTGACAGACACACACCAAAAAAAAAAAAGAGAGACACATCATATATAAAAACAACAATGGACATATACTCAATGGGATACAATACACACAATACATACCTCCTTAATCTCCTCCGAAGGAAACTCCGTAATCTGTCTCTGCGGCACAATATGTGGTCCAACCTGAGGTCGCCGATCTCTTTTCCTCATGTCGTACCATTCATCATTAAGGTAGCTCGTCGTCTCCCCCGCCGCAACCTTCTTCTCATATACCCCCGTCGAAAACATCTCCCTTCCCCACGGTGGCAGAATCACACTAGCCGCAAACCACCCAATAAGGTTATACGGCACTCCTCCCGGCCCATAGGAGATAAAAGTCCGATAATCGCGATACATACGCGGGAGAGTAACTGCTACCACCGCAGCCGACAAGGCAGAAATAATAACAACCCGGATATGATTACCGGGTTGCATAAGGAACCGGAACTGGGAGATATGCGAGGAGAAGAATGTTGAGGCTTTTTCTAGTAGGGATGTCATTTTTGAAATGATTAGGTCTCTGGTAATGTATATGTGTATAGCTGAAGGTGAAGATGGAGTATAGTATAGTATCGTATCGTTTTTTCTCCCGTTGATAGTAAATTTAGATCTAGGTAGAATTGCCCACGGTCTTGAAGTTTACCATCAACTATTTATACATCAAAGGGAGAAGAATGAACAAGAATCCCGTGACAACATGGAACGATCTACCGGGGGATTCCGATCGGGTTCGTTGATTGGTGGCACCATGGATTAGGAATCAGTGTGAATGTACGAGCGAACCAATCATGTTGGATTTGTTGTTTGGGGACGTTTGGTGGTGGGTTTTGGGGTTCCTAATTCCATAGATATCCATTTCCTGGATGGTGTTGTTGGGTCGTGGATAGGATAGGATAGGATAGGATAGGATAGTTCTTATGTGTTAGGACCTGGCTTATCGCAAGGTTTGTCTGTTTGGTCTGGTTAGGCACTGTTTAGAGAGATCCATATGTTGGCTTGGTGGGTGTCGAAGTTCTCGGTTTGGCCCCCAACTGGTGGATGAGTATGAGTTGTGTGTAGTGTTGGGGGCTGGTTGGGTTGGATCGGGGTTTGTTATGTAAGGCGAAGTTGGTGGACTTGAGTACTGTGAGATTGGTCTACTGGTTTCTGAATTGAATTGATGGTGCTACTATTTGAGGGTTGTATGGTATGTGTGTAATGTATGGAAGATTGCCTAGGGTGTACTATCTACAAACCATGCATAGTTGTCCTCATTGTGCGCTGATCATGTAGACGTTATGTGCAAAGCTAGATGGCATAATCTATCAACTTGTGCGTTGAAATGTGTGCGTGTATTTTACGATTTCCATGGTCGAAGAACAGGTCTCTGCTTGGTAATCGTCGATAAGGAGAAGAACTCAAGCATCCTTTCGCTTCACGCTTCTCCATTCCATCCCCAGCGCTCCAATCATGCTGGCACAGGCTAGACCGACAGGGAAGAAGAAAGCCGTTGTCAAGGCCTTGTCGTAGGCCTCGATCACCCGAGGAATATCAGTGGAAGGGACATACTTCTCCAAATCGGACATTCCCATAGCCGACAACGAGTACGTGTCTAGATTGGGCAACAATGGCCCCAAACGTGTGAGCAGCTGTCCCGTGAAAATGGTCTGCACGATAGAGACGAAGAGAGCCGGCCCGAAATTCTGAGCAAAGATAATCAGGGCAATGCCCATGGGGGAATCATCGACTGGTAGAATAGTCTGGGCTGCAACCTGAGGGCCTTGGAAGCCCACGCCCGCTCCTACGGCCAAGAGCGCCTGGTAGCCGAGAAGAGAGGCCAGGGACTGATCCACTGACAACGTTGTCAGCAAGCCTGCCGCAATGGGCGTCAATATCCCGGTAACAATCATGAACGGGGTATAGTATCCTAGAAGGCTGATGGCGGAACTTCCACACATGACAGCAACAGGCACACCGATCGCGATGGGAAGGCTCAGCACACCGGATGTCATGGCGGATGCACCGCGAACCACTTGAAGATAGGTTGGTATCTAAGAGTGAGAGGACATCAACCAACGTAGCCGGGTATGAAGGGAGTTGGGCCTACATAATACTCGAAAACGGAGAGTGTGGAGTTGTTGCAAAAGGAAAACCACATTCCTGCGAGCAAACTGCGACGCCGCATGATTCGCCCCGGAAGCAGGGCGTTACCACCTCTTCTCCTTTCCTGCCACATGAATGTTCCCAAAAGGGCAGCCGTTAATATGAAGAGAACAATGATCCGTGCGTTACCCCATCCATACTTGGAGCCACCCCATTGTAGGGCTAGCAACATGGACGTGATAGAGGGCACAAAGATGCTCGTTCCGAGGAGATCAAGTTGGTGGAGCTTCTCTCTCCATGACAGGCTTACACGGGTATTCTTCTGAGGGTGTTGGAAGAAAAGTAAGATCAATAGGAAGGACAAGCCCCCAATGGGCAAGTTGAGATAGAAACACCATCTCCAGGAGATGGAATCGGTCAATGCGCCCCCAAGTAGTGGGGCTACAGTCGCCGACGCACCCTCAACCCCAGCCGCGATACCAGTAAAAAAGGGACGTTGGCGAAGTGGGAAGCTCTGCACTACCATGCTACAGTTCCGCATGTTAGCTTGAACGGATAGGTTACCAGAATAAGGTAGTGCAGACGAACGTGAAGACTCCAGATATGATACCCGCGCAGCCCATCCCAGAGATCGCACGTCCCAGAACCAGCGCGGCGGAAGTAGGCGCTACACCGGCGATCAACGACCCGATCTCAAAAATGACGACTGAGATGAGGAACACGCATTTGACTGAGAACAGATGGTACAGCTTTCCAAACATGAATTGAAACGAGCAGGAGGTCAAGCGACTGTGGCCCGTTAGGGCATCGAACTGATTCCGTGAAAATGCGAGATACTAACTATGCCGAGTAATACCAACCAACATCTTCAATGGTCCCGAAATGCGTGGTAACCGTTGGCAATGCTGTTGCGATCATGTTGAAATCCTACGTCCTTCTTAGCATGAAGTGGTTCCTATTAACCTATGCAGCCTTCAGGGACAAGAAAACGGACCAAGCCAGTGAGGATCAACGACATGCCCATGGCAAGGAGCACGACAAGGAATTGAAAGCCGGTGGGATACTCCATGTTCTCTTCTTCGCAGGGAGTATCTTGTCCTTCTAGCATTAACGTTGGAGTGCGAGTGTAATCTTCGGAAGCCATCATGAATGAAAACACAACAGCCCGACAAGATGCAATAGGTTGTTGGCAGCGTAGGAATTTACCAAAAACCTCAGCGTACAAGGGGCAAAACATTTTTTATACCTGAAGCGATCGGGATTCGGAATAGAGTATACGATGTAACATGACCGATAATAAATGGGGATGGGTATCCGCATGTCTCGTTCAGCTTTCTTGTTCAGCTGTAACTGATAAGACATGGTCGAGAATATCTAATATCGAATACCGATCACTCCGAACTCCGGTTCTCTTTACTGCCTCAAATGATTCTTGCAGAATCTACATCCATTTAATCATGTCCAACAGCATATAATCATAAAATCAAGCATCCTCACCGGGGTATTTAGGAATCCATAACAAGGTATCGCCTCCGATTCTCCTTCCATGCTAGAAAAAGACAAAAAGTACCATTTATTCCCAAAGATGCCAATACGCCCCTTCCTTGAAATACCGGGTCAATTTTCGACCTAATCAGATAGCGGTTTTGTGTCGAGCAGGCCCGTTGTACCTTTCAGGGATACTTTCCATGGGCTTAGAACTGGTTCATCAAAGCTGGGCTATTGATAACGAGGCTTATAGAATAGGCCGGTCGAGACTATCATAACCTTTGCGCCAACGAAACTGATGTATCAATTCACTGGTATGGTGCCTGACCATTTCACAGGAATCTAGTTGTATCATTAGATCGGCTTTAATAGCCAAGCGAGTGTGAAACGGTCTCAGTCATCTTTGCTAATCGAGCTTAGGGCATGCGCAAGTTTCAGGAGGACAACACTTTCCGTGGCAGCGAAGTAATTCAGACTACACAATGGACAAATCAGCATGGGAAACAGCCGCGGAGTTTCTGGACGACTTACCTGTCCATCAAGATGCGTAAATGCCGATTGAAATGATCTTCATAGCGTTTTAGTGTGTCCTCAAGCTTGCTGATCCGCGTTGGGTCATAACCCCTTCCATCCGGATTCGAGGCCTTGTTCCTCGCAAGCTCTGGGTCAGCCGTCGCCAAAGCCCGTGCAAGCGACGAGGCAGTCCAAGATGCGAACATGGTGCAGCAAGTCATCAACTTGGAATGAATCTGAAATGCCATTAGTATTGCTGTGCGGCGCCCAAAGAACACTGAAACGCCATGACAAACCTTTAGTAATTTAGCTTGCGTGAGCATGCATTCCTTGAGACATGTGTCCAAGAAATCCACATGGTCTTGCATTAATTCATCAACAGTTCGGTTGACTTGCTTGGTGCCGTTCACAGTCACTTCGGACCCGTCCGCATCCGTCCCGTTCACACGATCCATGAGATTTTGCCAGTTTGGCTCGATGACTTCGGCCGTACAGAAATAAAGAAGCTGCTGGACGAAGACGAGCATCTTAGCGCGCAAGTTCCACGCCCGTCGCTTCCACATCTCTAGCCTCCGGTCTGTGGACTTGTGGCGCCAGCCAAGAACCTTGGTCTGGTCCAGCCAGGCCGTAACTAGAAGGTGCTCCAGATGACGGAGTGATAGGAGGTGGCGAAAAATGAGTTGATATCGCAAAACAGTCTTGCGACTAATGACTAGAGACAGAGGGAAGGGGACGGAGTAATCCAGCTCGAGCGCATCGAATCCAGCAATATCCTTTTCATCATCCCCACCTTGGGTTTGAGGGACCTGGTATTTCTCAATCGCTGCCTCAGGGTTGTCCTGGTCAATTCCAGAGACGCTTACGACCTGCATCAGCCATTTCGTGAGACCAATTTTGTTCATTCGAACTTTCACATCTTCCTTGAAAGGATCTTGTGCAGCTATGCTACCCGGCTGACGTAGAACAAGATCAAGTAACGACTGTAGTTTATTTTCGTTGACACTTCTGGCTGGTTTGCGCAACTCCGAGGCGCCAAGCTCGAGGAAATAAGAGAAAAAGTCGGAACGGTCCAAGAAGAAGTAATGTTTGAGGGAGCGGAAGCGAGTAGTGAGAGAGTTCTTCGTCAAAAGAAGGTTCAATAAAGAGGCATTAGCATAGGTGTAGGCGGCATTGACGTTCTCCAGGAAACGTGGATCGTCCAAAGTCTTCGGCACATCCTTAACTGCTTTGCTAATATCGACACCACCACATTCTCGTACCACATTCAGATACTTTCCAGCTAATAGAACTTTGTCTCGTACGCTGTCTAGCTGTGGGGGAACCTCATTTTCGCGAATAGTGTACCGTTTCTCCCAGTATTCATCTGTGTAGTCTTCCTCGAGCTTCTCCCGTTTGATCCATTTCTGCTCTTTCACGAGGAATTCCGCATGAGGGTCCTTGATACCCCCATGATGAAGCCATTCATTGAGCATAGTCATATATGGTCGACTAGCTTCACGAAGTAACTTTTCCAGGAGAGTCTTCGTAGTCGGATCGCCAGAAAATGTTGCTAACCGCTCAGTCAGCAGTCGAAGAACGTTGCCTCCCTTACAAATCTTCTTGCTGGACATGGCGCCAGGAACAAGGTCGCCGCCCTCTTTGAGCTGTTCGAGAATATTATCTACGTCATCAAAGTCGTCGATGGATTCGTCGAGGTCCTGGTCCAGTAAGCCATTGCGCCGAAGTAGTTCCTGGCCCAGCGAGTATAACTGGGTTAAGCATTGACTTGTCGGCATGGTGTGCAAGTGTAGAAGATGTAGCGTGAAGCTTGGGTTGTTCACAAGTTGGGTTTCAAGCTGAGCAACAAGGATCAGGTAGTCCTTTAGGAGCTTTCGGATTGCCGCGCATAGGGCATGACTGACTGCTCCATATTCTGCACGGCTCTGAACCTCCACAAATGCCTCCAAAGCATTATAATGAGTTGCCATCTTTAACATGGACAGAGTAAGGTCCCTTAAGGTTGGGTCTACACCTGATGGCAGTTGAAATACCGGACCAGTCAAACGGTCCTTCTCCATGGACGAATCATATCCACTATGGTAGTGAATGTACTGGCCTTCAAAGCCCATAAACACGAATAGTAAATCTTCCAAGAGGGCTGTCTCTTGTGCGTCGGCGGAAAGCTCGCGAAGTGGGGTTGGGTGAAGCGATTTGGGCAAAGCTGAAGCAAGAGAAGGAACCGATACTCGAGTAGCTAATGGTGCTGTCGAATGGGGTATCAACGAGGCATGCGGATTCCAAGTCGCTGGGATGGTATCATGGTCAGCATCCTAAGTAAACAAGCGCCTCAGATGAAATGGTTGTCACTAACACTCTGCAGGCTCCTTATCCTTCTTTCGCATATTGGGACTAGCACCGTCCGTCAGAGTAGCCCTCCTTGAGCGCGACCTTTCCCATTCCTCTCTGTTTCCTGCGCTAGAAGACTCCTTGACCGGGTTTCTCGCTCGAACTTGAGCTTTGTCTTTGGAATGAGGTGCCATGCGTTCGACACGCTTGTCGCTCATCATATCACGTTGCTCTCGAGAGACTTTACCCTTCTGACTTGACGTGCTTCTGCGGTGGTTTATCTGTTCCGATTGCAACGGGGACGCACCGCTGCGAGCATCGCCGACGCGATTCGAGGAAACGCGGGGTCGTGGTGCGCTCATATAGCTGGCGCGACGGTCATTGACGGACATTGTCCCGCGAGATAAACAGAGTAGGGTCGACCATGCATATACCGAAAGGGAATGCAAGGGATAACAATAAAAATAGGGAAAGAAGAAACAAGGAATCGAATGCAGAAGTATATTGTTGCTCTGTCACGTTCCGCAGTTTACAGTAAGCAAATGGAGACTAGTGCAATGATGCCTGATGCTGGCCTGAGGCGAGCACGGACTCTCCGCCAGGCACTCAGCGGACTTGCGTAGACCTGGAGCTTCGCCCGAGCTTCCAAGAACAGCTCCCAACACCACCTTCCTCCCTTCCCTTACAAAGCTTCTTTCCTGTCTTCACCCCCAAGAATACTTCATTAGTGCCTCTATATCAACTACATTCTTCATTGTACTGCCGAAATCGTCCAACATGTTCATCGCGCGATCGGAATATGGTAAGCTCCGTCAGACATCTCCCCTCCAATGCGGGCTATCTAACAGCTTTGTCTCCAGACCGTGGAATTAAGTATGAGATCATCCTATGTTACTCACCTAGACGAAGATGACTTTATGTGTTCTAACGATGGAATTATTACAGCACCTTCTCCCCCGAAGGACGTTTATTCCAGGTCGAATACTCTCTTGAAGCTATCAAACTAGGTTCGACAGCGATCGGTGTATGTTTCCCGCATCTTCCATATAATCCAGTTCAAAAATCCTAGGCCTGCCACATAAACTATCTAGTGGCCGTACACTGCACAACCGGAGCCCAACGCACCGTTCTGACTTCATATCAGGTCGCAACCAATGAAGGCGTCATCCTGGGCGTTGAGAAACGTGTCACATCTACTCTTCTTGAAGCCTCTTCCGTCGAAAAGATTGTTGAGATTGATCAGCACATCGGCTGTGCTATGTCCGGCCTGCAGGCAGATGCCCGGAACCTCGTCGAGCATGCCCGCGTTGAGTGCCAAAACCATGCTTTCCACTATGCCGAACCACTGCGAGTTGAGAGCTGCACCCAGGCCATTTGCGACTTGGCCTTGAGATTCGGAGAGACAGGGGATGATGAGGAAAGCGTGATGAGTAGGCCTTTCGGTGTTGCTTTGTTAATCGCAGGTTTCGATGAGGATGGCCCTCAACTGTATGTTTCTCTTAATGCCAGATCAGCCTTCTCAGAAAATATGTGCTAATTTAGCTAGATATCACGCCGAGCCATCCGGTACATTCTACCGATACGACGCAAAGGCCATTGGATCCGGAAGTGAGGGTGCGCAAGCGGAACTGCAGAACGAATATCACCGCTCCCTCACTCTAGAAGAAGCGGAGACACTGGTCCTCAAGACACTGAAGCAGGTCATGGAGGAGAAGCTGGATGCAAAGAACGTTCAGCTTGCCAGTGTGACCAAGGAGAAGGGTTTCCGTATCTACAATGATGAGGAGATGGGAAGAGCTGTTGCGACCTTGGGTGGTA